GTATAGGGTGTGTCTGTGGGGGTGTGTGAGTGTGGGGGGTGTGAGTGTGCGTGATGTGTCTGTGGGGGGTGTGTGTGGGTGTGTGTGTGGTGTGTCTGTGGGGTGTGTGTGTGGGGTGTGTGAGTGTCTGTGGTGTGTCTGTGAGGTGTGTGAGTGTGTGTGGGGTGTGTGGTGTGTGTTCACTCTGGACGACAGAACAGGACTCTGTCTCAAAAAAATCCCACAAAAATCAGAGCTGCCCTTGCCCTTGTGTTAACAGGCTCTCCCTCTATTATGGCACCTACCCGGCTCTTAGGGGCACCTGAGTTTGAGACCCCTACTCTAGATTCATGTTACCAAATCCCCTTCCAGAGAATGTGTAGTCGGTTACACCACCACTCGGGATCCAAGAAAGAAGCATTGTCACCAAATCCTGCTCAACACACTGACTCTCACATTTCAGTGAGTAGGAGAGTGAGGTTCAGAGACGTTAAGTGACTTGCTCCAGGTCACACAGCCAGTCAGGGAGAGCATCGGGACTGGAGCCCAGCTCGTCTGATCCTGAGACCAGCGACCTGTCCTCCTGCCACACAGGTTTCCTACAGACGGGGAAGCCAAAGCATAGGGCTGGGAGCCCCATTCAAGGGCTCTGACTCTCAGAAACTCATCACAGCCAGCTAAGGGAAGAGAGGGGTTCGGGCCCCTGATCCTGGGAGCAGCTGCTGGGGGTGGCTTCCAGCATCGGCGGTGGAACAGCCCCATGCCCAGAGCGCAGGGAGCCTCTGGGCTGTATCCAGGTGTGGAAGCGTGCGCAGGGGGTGTGTAAGTGTGTGTGTGGGTTGTGAGGGTGTGCCTGTGGAGTGTGTGGTGGGGGGTGTGACGGTGTGTGCCTGTGGGGTGTGTGGGGTGTGCATGTAGGTTATGTGAGTGTGAGAATGTGTGAGTGTGAGCATCAAAATGTGTAAAAGTGTGTGTGTGTGTACGTGTGTGTATGTGTGTGTTTGTGTGTGTATTTGTGTGTATGTGTGCTTGTGTGTGTGTGTTTGTGTGTGTGTGTCTGTCTGTCTGTGTGCTTATGTCTGAGCTCTTTTGGCTAGAATGTTCTGGAGAGAAGTTCTGATGTGAAATTTGAGAGACCTGGCAGAAGCAGTGGGGTGGGGGGATAACTGGGAGCGCTGGGGAAAAGCATTCTGAGCAGAGAGAACAGCAGCTGCAAAGGCCACAAACAGCAACCTGGGCTAGGGTGGAGAGAGCCAGCAGGGAGGTCAGAGGGGTTGGGGGCTGGGCAGGGCAGGGCCTCCAGGCCAACAGGGGCTGGTGAGCTTTATTCTGAGCAATGCTGTGCATTTCAACAGAGTCAGCCCATAAACACCTCCTGGAGACTCCAGGAGCTTAGAGGAAGGACAGATGGCTTCCGGCTTGGGGTGGAGTGGAGGAGAGGGGACAAGGCAGGCTGGAACAAGGATGGGCTCGGAGGCAGGAGATGGCATTGAGACAGTGCCTGTGGGCAGGGAGGTCCCTGAAGACCTTTCTGCCACTGGGCGCCTGTCCTTGATGTGTTGACCAAAGTGAGGTTGGGCTTCACCCTCTGGCAGCTCCATCGCTGTGGCCAGGTGCGGCTCAGTGCCTGCAGTGGAACTTTCTGGGATGGTTGGGGATGGTCTGTGTCCGTGCTGTCCAGAAGGCGGCCACAAGGCACAGGTGCACTGCTGAGCACCTGAAATGTACCTGGTGGGCTGAGAAGCAAGATTTTAAATTTAAATCTCCACAAGAGACTAGCAGCCACCACATTGGAGCGAGCGAGCTGCATGAACGGATCCTGCTGGATGGCTCCTCTTCCTTGGCCTAAGCCGGGTAGCACTCAGGTGGGCGCTACCTACCCCACAGGACCTTGCCTCCCTGGCCTCTGCCATGCCTGGAACCAGCTGTTTGGTCTGGGCCACACAAAGGCCCCACTGGTGACTCACCACGCCTCTCATCCCGAGTGAGTGGTCAGCAGAGCTTTCCATTCCACTGAGAACATGAGTTTCTGTGTACACAGGAGTCTTGGCCTCGGCTGCTCAGTCAGGCACGTGGCTGCCCTAAACATCTGCTCCTCTTGTGCCAGGGGCGCAAGGAGCAGCTCAAAACCAAGCCCCGTGCCACAGCAGATGGGCTCGCCTGAGATTAGCGCCTGTCTTTCCACCCGGAGCCGAGAATACTCAGCTTGCTCATTTGAACCCATATGGTGACGTTTCTCTCTCTCTCTCTCTCTCTCTCTCGATTTCGGTATTTATTCTGTAATTTCAGTTTTCAAAAACAAAACCCTTTTGTTGTACAAAGTTCTGAGACTGGGCACTGCGTGCATGCATCCCTTGTAAAGCAAATACATTTTGCATGTGGCTGTACAGGTTGTAACTCCTCCCGGAGAGAGTGGATGGCTGAGAAGGAGCTGGGGCCGCATCAGCTTTGTTGTGGGGCTGTCCCACGTGTCCTAGGATGGTTAGCAACATCCCTGGCCTCTACCCACTAGATGCCCGTAATAATCCCTCCCACCACCATCATTGACACACCCCAGATGTCCCCAGGCACAGCCACCTGTCTCCTGACAGTGGCGGCAGAAGCACTTTGGTTGAGAACCGCTAGTGTAGAGATGGCCTGATGAGAAGAGGAGAGGGATGAGAGGCTGAGGCCCCTGCGGTCTCCCCTCTGCGCGTCTCCAATCTGCTTTTGTGTTTCACGTAGGTAGGGAAGTGTGATGCACAGTGTCTAGTGCTATGTTGGGGTCCGTGGTTAAGCTGTACGAACACGCAGCCACGCTGACCCAGCTGTCCGCACTCATCACTGCACAAGGTCGTATCCTTGACCCGGTCTGTGATGCTCCATGACAAGATCACCCCTGTTGCTGTGTCAGGCAGGGCCTGGGCAGGAAACAGTGGAGCGCTCAGCGTGGAAAAGAGCTGAATGGAAGGACTTTAGCAAGGTGTGGGCAGGGCTGACGAAAGCGGCGCCACGTCGTCTTCCCGGGGCTCGGGGTTTCAAACGCCGCTGCAGGGACCGCCTCTGCTCACAGCTTCTAGTGCCCGTGTGCAGAAGCGGCTCCAAAGGCCCTTGCGAGGGAACTCACTGGGGCCAGGTTATCCGCAAACACCGTGATGCCTCAAATCCAGTTTTGCCTAAGGAGGTAGGGGACGACTCTTTTGATCTAGAGGTGAATGCACAAGGAGTTTATCCCGAGCCACCTCCTTCTGGCAACTCACTCAAGGCTGGGGCTTCCTCACACAGAGACGGCCCCTACCGTAGGCAAAAGACTCCTGTGTCCGGCCTCAGCTCCCCCTCCTGGGCTGTGCCTGTGTTTCTCACTCACGTGGCCAACTAGAGAAGTGGGGCGGAGCTGAGAGTCTGCGCAGGCTCTGGGGAGCATCTGATGAGTTACTGCAGAAGCCGCACTTTCTGCAGGAAGAACAGAAGTGCCTTTCTCTCACTTCCTTTTTGGGGCCTGGGAGGGTTGGCCTGTGAGTGGCCAGCTGCTATTTGTGGGGCTCGGCTGCTCCGTGTGAAACCCTAGTCTCTCTCGAGAGGGAAGAGCCGTGGAAAGGGGTGGTGCCAGGTGACACTTCCCCTGGTCCGGGGTACAGTCAGCCCAGGTGCGGCGGTCACAACGTCAGAGTAGAGGGTGTAACTCACGGGTAGAGCATTTGACTGCACAACGTCAGAGTGAAACCCGTCTAGGTCAGGATGGGCCTGATGGGTTTCCTAACAGATCAGGTGTGTGTTCCTTGTATTTATAGATGCTCAGGGTATACAGTGGGCTTTTTGTTGGGTGACCACATCCAACACCCCTGACTTGGACAGAAGGGGAAACTGAGGCCCACAGAGGCTAAGTGCGTAGTCTGAGGTCACACACTGAGCTTGGGACATCAAGAGGACTAGAGTCCAGAGTCTGGGCTCTCATTCTAGAGGTCTTCCTCTTCGTGGGGGTGGCAGGGTCTCCCATTTGGAACAAAAATGAGATGAGTTTCTTCCCAGCCCCAGCCATTCCCGGGGTCCTGGCAGAAGGACAGCTGTCTCCTGCATTGTCTTGAACCCCTGGGAATGGGTGGGGCTGGGGGTGGGAAGTGGCAGAAAAGGGGCTGTCCAAACGTCACACATCTGGAGTCTCCACATCTGCCCCAGGGCTGAGCAGAAGAGCTGCCCTCTGCCACCCGTTCATGGTGGCCTTTGGTCGTCTTTAGTTTTGTGCCAGCCGGGTTGCTTTTGGGTGCTCCTTGTAAGCTGTTTTCACTGGAATGAAACGGCGTGCTGAACTCCTCCCTTCCTCTTCCTCCCCTCCCATTCCTCCTCCCCAAAAAATGTACTGAGCCCATGCTCTGTGCCCCTTGCCTTCTAGAAGAATGGCCAGAGCTGTCCTCATTGAGGAGGCAAGATTTGAGCAAGGTTCCTGGGAGGCAAGCAGTCACCCAAGCAAACATCTGGGCAGAGAGCATCCCGGCAGCGGAGCGGCAGAGAGGACATTGTGGGCATCTGGCCTGGTGTGAGCAGGGGAGAGCGGCAGAGGGCTCAGGGGAGAGGGCCCAGGGTCATTAAAAGGATCCAGTGCTCAGGCAGAGCCTCTGGGGAGCGGCAGAGGGTCCTGAGCAGCAGCAGGCTCAGCTGTGGCTCAGGTGCTAACAGGGTACTGGGTGCTTGGGGGCGGGGTCCGCTGAGGAGGGGCCGGTGGGGAGTAGCTTGAAGCAGGAATGAAGGTGGCGAGAAGTGGACAGATAACCTTGGGCATGTTTCGAAAGTCAAGCCAACAGTGTTTGCTAATGGATTGGTGGAAGGGAAGGGAAGGGGACAGGGAGAGAGGGAAGTCAAGGATGACTCCAGGGATTTGGAGCCTGTCTTCGTCTTAGGCCCCAACCCCACAATTCTGCGGGGCATCGCCCTCATGGGGGGCCGTCCCTCCATGGCATTCTTTGAATTCAGGGGGAGGCAGCCATACCCCCAAAGCTCTTAGCACCACGTGCACCCTGCCAGGGCTCACAGATTGCGCCCTCTGCAGCAGCAGCCCAAGCCACACCTGGGCCCACTAGAGCCACAGCTGGGGTGGCCAAGGAGCACTGCGCCAAAACACAGGGAGCAGAGGCCCAAGGCAGCCCCAGCCCCTCTCCCACCTCATTCTGCCCTCAAGCTCCAAGGGCTCTGGGCTTCCTAGATGAGTCACCGCAAGATCCCTCAGATGCCTTCAGTCTTTCTCCCGCTGTCTCAAAGAGCAGTACCTGGCTTCTTTCCAGCCGCACTCACCTCCTCATCACATGGTCGCTTGGTCATTCACTTGGTATTTTCTCCCAAACGCACCTTTTTATTCTTTAAGCGACCAGGCTGAGAATTTTCCAGATCTTTGTGTCCTGCTTCCTGTGTGGTTAGAAATTCCATCTTTAGACCATTTGTCCTCGCGCATTTTACCGTGAGCAGCCAAGAGGGGGCATACTGCATCCTAAACACTTTGCTGCTTGGAGATTTTTTTTTTTCCATATGCGTAGTTGATTACTTAAAAATTTTTGTTTGTTTTTTGAGACAGGGTCTCCCTCTGTCACCCAGGCTGGAGTAGAGTGGTGTGATCATAGCTCACTATAGCCTTGAACGCTTGGGTTCAAGTGACCCTCCTGCCTCAGCCTCCTGAGTAGCTGGTTCTACAGACATATGCCACCATGCCTGCTAATTTGAAACAAATTTTGCAGAGACGGAGTCTTGTTATGTTGCCCAGGTTGGCCTCGAACT